TGCAACAACCTTAAAAAACCATCTTATGACTATTTGTTTGATCCAAATTTTAAAATATATACCTTTTTCAATCTAATGAATAATCAACAAAAAAAAAAAAAAAATATTGAAAACACAACCTAGAAAGTATATTTTAAGCCCAATTAACATAAGCCGTTCATTTTGGTGAAATGCTTAGATCTAGGCTTTGGAAAGATTTTTTCATTTCCAATATTTTTGGATGGATTTATTATCGTTAGATGAACAATGTTAGAAAACAAAAAAATGATTTTGAGTTCATAAAGGCTAAGATCTTAAAATTCACAAAATCATCGGCCTAGATTCATTTTGGAGAGGACCCATTTTTACCATATCTACGGTTCAAATTGAAATTGTTTTTTAGGAGATTGATTATTGAGATGAAGATAGTATGTGTGCAAAATTTAGGGTCATACAAATACCACAAACATCGTTTTCTAGAAGTGTCGTTACATTATACTATGATACAACTGTTACATTGGATCATTGCTCTATATATAGAGGTTAATGATCTAATGCAATAATTATATGATAGTATAATGCAACTACACTTCTAGAAAACCATGTTTGTGGTTTTTGTATAAGTCAAAATTTTGCATATACACTATCTTCATCTCAATAATCAATCTCAAAAAAAACAATGGGAAAATTACATACATATCTGTTATAGTTTCCGTTACTACGGCTCTACCAAATAGTTTCTGTTATTACCACCGTGTTCATTTTTTTCATGTCAAAATAGAAATTTTAAAAATAGACGACTTTACCATTTTTTGGTTGTTGAACAACCAAATTCAAAGAATTTTCGTTTGTTCAACAACCGAAAACGATGCCAATTTATGTTTTTGAGTAACCAAAAATTTAAAATTTTCGGCTCTTCAAGAACCAAAAAGTTTTTTCTCTCTTGTGGCTCTACGTATCCTCTCTCTACCTCTTTCTCTACTTTATATGGGTAAAATGGTTTTTTTTTTTAAACTCTCTCTCTCACCTTCACCCAGCGTCTTTTTTTTTGGGTAAGTTCATAATCCTTGAGATTTCTCCAAAATTTAAGGGCTCAAACTAACTGTTCCCCCTGATGTTATCGGATAACTATGACTTCAAAGAGGTACAGAAAATACGCCACAAGAGAGATTTCGATTCTTAACGACTGAAGATTTTAAATTTGCAGTTCTTCAAGAACCGAAATTGGAGTATTTTCGGTTGTTGAACAACTGAAAATACTTTGAATTGGGTAGTTCAACAACCAAAAAGGGTAAAGTCGTCTTTTTTAAAAATTTCCGCTTTGACATGAAAAAACGGACACGGTAGTAACAACAGAAACTATTCGAGAGAGCCGTAACAACGGAAACTATAACGGATATGTATGTAATTTTCTCAAAGAAAAAGTTTGATTTGAAGCCTAGATATGGTCAAAATAAGTCCCTCTTGCAACAATGAATCTAGACTATTCATTTGGTGAATTTCAAGATCTTAGCCTTTACAAACTCAAAATAATTTTTTCAACTTTGTTTATCTAATGATAATAAAGCCATCAAAAAAATTTCGAAAATAAAAAATTCTTCTAAGGCCTAAATCTAAGCATCTTATCAAAATAAATAGCCTATATTAATTGGGTTAAGAAAATACTTTTGAGACTGTATTTTCAAATTATTATTTTTTGTGATTGTTCTGTAGAATGAAAAGAATTCATGTTTTAAAATTTGGATCAAACAAATGGTCTTAACATGGTCTTTAAAGATTGTTACATTATACTATGATACAACCGTTGCATGAAATCATTGCCCATATATATAAATAGAAGATGTTAGGGTAAGCCCGCTAGCTCACAGGAAAAAATGAGCCCAACGGCTTAAATTGAATCTGGGCCGATCTGATGATTATAGATATCTGATGGTGTTTTAATTATAATTTTTTTTTACAAATCCAAATCACTTGAAATTTGGGACGTATGTACATAAAAAATAGGTGAATTTTTTAAAAATATCAAAAAAAATATTTTACATGAAATAAATTGACCAAAATATACCCAAAAATTTAGGGGGTATTTTGGTCAATGTTTTTTCACGAATTATTTTTTTTATATTTTTATTAGGTGCGACTTGATGAGAAGAATATATGCCTAAAATTTCAAGTGATTTAGATTTTGAAAAAAAAAATTAAAATTTAAAAACTACCA